TTTGTAGACTTTTAATACAATCTGGTTTTGGCATTTCACAAATTGCTCTAATACGTTCATAGTCTGGTGACATACCTTCAGAATTGAATACATGACCCAAGAATTTAATTTCTCTCTTTGCAAAAATACATTTGTCTTTGTTAAACTTTAAATTTATTGATTTAGCTCTCTGTAACACTTTCATTAATGTTTCATTATGACTTTTCTCATCAGAAGCATATATTAATAGGTCATCATGTTGATGATATTATTACATTTGGTATGTCTGAAAATGATTCTGTGAGTATTTTACTGAAAATTTCTGTGGAACAGTTCAGCCCATAAGGTAAACGTAAGTATTTGTACCTACCATAAGATGTATTGAATGTACAGAGGTCAGAACTGCTCGAATCTAGGGGGATCATCCAGAAACCAGAATAAGCATCTAAATGTGAGAAGTATTTTGCTCCATTTAATCTACATCTAACATCTTCAATTGACATTAAAGGGTAATGAGAGCGTTGAATAGCTTCATTCAAGTTTCTGGGATCCAAACATATTCTTAACTTCTTATTGGGTTTTTCTACAATTACTATGGAACTAACCCAAGAGGTAGGCTTAGACACTGGCTCTATCACTCCCAACTCCGTCATGCGATCCAATTCTTCTTTAAGTTGTAGTTGAAGAGCATATGGTACTTTACGTTGAGCATCTATTTTTGGTTGTACATCAGACCTCACTGTCAAATGGCACGTGTTCGGCAAACATCCCAGACCCTGAAATACATTTTGATATTGACTTAGCATCATATGAAGTTGTGAGTTTTCAATATTTTGACTGTAAATTCTTTTCACAACACCCAATTCAGTACAGGTGTCAGCACCAATCACTGGCTGACAAGCCATTGAAGTAACCATAAACTTTATATCATAGCATCTGTTATTTACATGACACTTGAGTACACATGAACCTTTAGTGGGTATTTTGTCACCACTATATGAAATTAGATTGACTGGACTATATTTCAAATCATTCATAGGTAAATTTAGTTTTCTGAAAACATCAATTGATATACAATTAGCTTTAGCACCAGTATCTAACAAAAATGTGATAAAATTATTATTTATTTTTAAATCTATGAGCCAATTATTTGCATATTGCAGACTATTCCTATACATATTACTGTCAATTGTGCCCATGAAGAAACCATTGTCTGTATTATAAGATGATAGATACGTATTACCTTGAACACTGGTACGCTCCACTTCAATACTGTTTACAGTTCGGCAAACATATGCAAAATGGCCAATTTTGTTGCATTTGTTGCATTTCTTCCCCATGGCCGGACACTTGAAGCGATGAACTTGTCCACATTTGTTGCATTTCGTTTGTTTGTAAGCAGAGTTGTTTTTCTTGATCACTGATATATTAATTTCTTTCTCTTCTAAGTATGTAGTATTCTGCTGTGACTCTTCCATCGTCTTGTAGGTTGACTGTACTTTTGTTAGTTCTATATTGTTTTCTGACAAAAGTTTTTGACGTATGTCTGTGTGTCGTTTATCCATATTACAAATAAACATGTCTCTTATGAGAGAGTCCTGCAATTCTCCAAACTCACACGTCTTTGCAAGCTTTTTCAACTTCGTAAGAAACAGGTCAAGGGAGTCGTCACCCTGGTGCAGACTAAAAAACTTGTGTCTTTCAATTGCTAGATTTTTCTTGGGAATAAAATATGCACTGAATGCCTTGATTGTCATGTCATATTTAGTTTTTTCAGTCTCTTTGAAGTTGTTGTAAATGTCTAATGCCTGTTCTCCCATGCAGTGAAGCAACATTGCAATCTTTCTTTGGTCTGTCTCTGCGTCGTATTTCATAGCCAATATGAAGTTTCTGAATAGTTGTTCCCATTTTTTCCATGCGTCCGCCAGATTCTCATTATCAAATGGGAAAGACGCAAACGGTTTCACGAAGTCCATCTTGTCTTGTAGTAGTCACGCAGTCACACGCCACGTGTTCCACCAACTTGTCCGAAATGAGTCTTTTACTGTGTTCTTTGCTTGAAATTTTTCGTTTTCCGCTGCCACCATGTTTTAATATAATGAAAACCAAAAGTTGACCATTTTGTTTTATTTTACAAAGTATAAATTTTACAAATGTGTGTCGTCTCGCCCGCCTTTCTTTTTCGCCTTTTTCTCTTCCTCTTTTGGCCGTGTTGCCATATTCGCCACAGATAATAACATCAATCATAACAGTAGGTAATGAAAAAATAAAAAATACCATAATATTATACTTTTATAATTGCAAAGATTGTAAAACATTTAAAAACCACGTAGGAACATACATATTCATAAAATTATAAATCACATAGTTTACAGCTGCGATGTTTCTTTTAAGCACTACTATAGCCCTATGTAACCTTGGAATTTCTTTGGAAAAATCGTTTTTAGCATCGGGCACACCATACATATGGATTTTCTATTGATATATTTCTCGGACTGGAATGGAGTTGATTTGCGATACGGACGGACAGTCTACATAGGAATAAGACCCAACTTAAAGAGTTACTTTGAATTGGGTAAATTTTTAAAATAAGACATTTATTTGAACAAAATGGGGCTATAGGTATAAAGTACACAATTGTAAAACTCAACCTTCATTTTTAAGTCCAGGCCTGATAGATTTTTATCACTATATTTTTTTAGCACTTATTAATATAGTCCAGGAAACCATTATGTTAAAACAAAATATACTGCAGACTATATTTCTAGTACGAGACTTAAACACACAAACAAGAAATGCCTGTCAGCTTCATAAACTGATAATTTTTTTAAAGAGTAGCACTCAAATAGTATATTCAAAAAATATTTACTTATAAAACAAAATAGTAGCAAAAGTTAAACAGTACTACAACTTGTGAAATAATCAAAAGCGTTGGCGTTTTGCAATGACGTTAATAACCTATTCAAATGTTAATTTTAAACACTGACCTGACATATGACCATGGGCAAATGTTCATAGTATAAGATAAAGAAGTATACTGGATTACGTCCATGAAATAGCCGAAATATCACAGAGGCATGGCGTCAAAAAATATAATAAATTTATTAGCATGGCGTCAAAAAATATAATAAACCGAGACTTTTATAAGCTAATTCATTTATCGGAACGCATAGGTCCCTTTATGTTAGGCCTGGTTAAGTGAAAGCCAATATAGTAAGTGTTAAAACGCCTATCATGTCGACATTTAGCAATTTCATGAGAAGAGTTTCCTGTTACATAGGATATGCTTATAACAACTACACGGTACAAAGCATCTGTGCCGCAATTTTAGTTTTGGCAACTTACACGTCCTAAAAACGATAACACATACATACCCTCACACCGAATGCTCACATTTTATGCGCAATATTAAATGAAAATGTTTTATTGTATGTTACACTTTGCCTGTATATTTATGAAGAATAATGTTCGGAACTTGTGGTCATATTTATTAAATCTGTTTTATGTGACGCCTGCAGCGCAGCATGACGTTCACTCCTTGACAATATACTGATAATGGACTATACATAATGGACAATATAGTGATAATAGACTATAAACTGCATATCTTTAATACATATGCAGCTTATACGACAATTAAGTTCTGCAGTTAGGTGCTTACGCTTAATACATTTGAACCATTTAAAATCAAACGTTTATTCCTGCTATTAACTGCTTATTAATTACAAACAACATCATTTATTCAAACAAATATTGATTTGCCAAATTCAACTTATAGTACATTCTGACAAAAAAGTTCATTTGATTTAAGTACATGTATAAAAATACCCTTATTTGTATGTAGTTTGTACACATAAGCTAAGCACTAAGATGCAACAATGTTGGCAACAAATTTGGCAAATACATTACGAAAATATGCTAGTATATACTATATCACTGTATGCTTAATGATAAACCCAAGCCCTGATTATAATCAGTATAATTAAACGTTACAAAAGCTTTGACCATACCCAGTCTCTTACAAAATTAAATATAACAAGTCCTTATTTCTATAAACGATCCTCCTGTTCAAAAATGTAAATATGAGTTTTATTGAATGTATTATTTCACTATGATTTGATGATTTCATATAAAATTGGTTAGCACTTTGTTCTATTTATAATAAGTAGCATAAGTATAATAAGTAGCTTGCAAACGCTTGCTTAGTTTTTTACCCACGCTACAAAAGTCAATATGTCAACAGTTAGTACTTTAACCAAAGATCTGTTACGCTATCCTTTTAAGTTTAGCTGCCTGGCTTAACTACATAAAATATCAGAGTAACAAAATATTATTTCAAAATTAATCTAATGGGAAATAATGTACTATGATTTGATGCAATGTCAGCTTTATGGTTTTATATAAAAAGAAGGTATAAACCCACTAAGTACTATTTTATTCATTGTCAGAAATAATAAAATCAAATGAAATATACCTACTTCCTTACAAAATAAGGTAGTTTTATCTGTGCAGTCTGAATTTCCGATCCCATTGTGAAATAGAATCGGAAATTCACTGTTATAAATTTAAAGTAATTATCAAAAGAAAAGATCTACAGATAAACCGCTTAATTGAGTCCTCGCCTGCGGGGTACAACGGAGCGGAGGTAGAACAGGGATCGGGAGACGTGCGGACGCGCGAAGAAAACAAGAACGGTCCCCACTCTCATAATTTACTAACATAATAGCGTTACAAAATTCCTTACTTGCGTTATGTTATAGAATAAACCTTACGATATGTCTTTTTAGTTTCATTAGCTGCCAATTATAGAGAGTTATGATATGCAGTACCAATCACTACAGTCTAAATAAGTATAAAATTAGATTGTACAAACGCATGAATTGAGACCGCCACATAATTAACACATATGGAGTAAATGGCACCACGTGGCATAATGTGGTCTGGCATGGCTAGCTGTGGTCTCTAGAAATCTAGTTACACCGAACAGTAACAACTAAAGCTTGTACATTATGTTGTTGTACTTAAACAAGTAAAGCGGTCGCTAAAGCGATTAGAATCATTCCTGATGTAACAGTGAGGCCGCTGGCTCCACCGCCTGAACCTTTCTTCTCGGCCTGAAGGAAAAAACACACTGTGATGGATTACTGTGTTTAACTACGTTTACATAACATTTACACCCACACACCTGTATACAACACCCACACTAATACGCTACACTCACACACGCATGTACGTCTACAACGCACGATTAAAAATGTTTTCTTCAAAAAATTTACATGTACTTATGTAACTCGTAGATGAGAGAGGAACTGGTACCCTCAAAACAAGTAGAATCGTACTAGAGCTATGTTAGTGGAATTAATTTTAGAGAGATTAGATTCAGCTGGCGGAATTACCTACTCAATAGTACACCTCCATATTTACAGTGTACGAATATAAAGTATATGTATTTTATGTGTATTTATATATATATATGTGTGTGTGTGTAATTGTATATGTTAGTTATAACTGCTATAGCAACTGCAACCTCAGTGCACCTACCTCACCAGATTTCTACACCCCCCAAAGGTCATTAAGCCGCCGTTGTACTTAGGTGCATAAAGTTGTAAGTAAAATACTGTTGTACCAGAACCTCTGTACTCATTCTGGCGTAATAAAAATTTTACTGTTAATTAAAAGAGTGACCTACAGTTCTTATACAGTAGCTAAAAGTTGACCCAAAACATGTGACAAGGTAAACTTAATAAATAAAGTCTGAAACTCTTTTGGATTAGCTTAACTTGCAATTAACTCTGTAAACATCTTTTATATTCATTATAGCCTACTTCGAAATATTTAAATGAAACTTTATACATTTATAAATTTAGTTTTACGTATGTGTGTATTTCGGATATGCCTGTCAGATGATTGATTCATCCTTAGATAAACTAGTAGTTGGGTCTGAAACTAGTCGGCCATTCTCCCTTAATATACTGAATAAACCCTTTATACCTTATAAATAACATTATAACATCAGTAAATTGCTATAGACCTAATTCAATACCAAGCAAAGGAACAAATTACGTCGACAAAACACAAAAGTCTTATTAACAATAACAAAAATATTTACAAAATGTTCTACAATAATAACTTACGTTATTAGTTTTGGTATCCACACGGTCCTAAAAACATGCATTTGATTAGTAAGTTAGTATTAATCAAAGGAAATAAATAAGTGCTAGTGCAATATGAATCTACTGCTAGTGGAATAGGTATAGTATTTGCGTAAGATAAAAGCGTTTAGGTTGTTAGTGAGCGTTCTTTTATGTCGGTAAGACAGATCGGTAGAAGAATTCGGTAAGTGATACTCGATCGAAGCAAGTGCTGTCATATCGATTTTCAATTAAAAGACTGATTTATCTAGTATTAGCTGACATCACATTAGCTGAAAATATTGCATAAACATTTTACTTCGATGATCTTGTGCTTTGTGTGATGCTTTTAATTGATTTATGAAATTAACCGTGTACTATGGAGCACATCGGGAAAACATTGCTCAGCAGTAGACTGCTACAGGCTAATTGATTGCTAGAATCGATCATTTCAATATCAAAGAGCGATTTTAGATTGACACAACTACGGTTAATTTCAAGAAATTAAATTTACTTAAAGAGAAAAGACGTCTAAAGTACAGGAACTTTTTTATTCAATTTCCAGTAAGCAGTTTGATGATACTCAGAATAAAATGTTTCAAGAAGAAGAGCATACTTAGTGCAAAATCAGGAGTCGAGTGCTAAATCTTCTTTATGTGTTTAATTGAAAAGTGCATTACATATTTTCATTTTAAAACATTCGTATCAATTCGAACCAGGTAAAAAAATACAGCAATTTGAAAATCTAAAAAGAGAAACTACTTTTATATTTGAAATTCGAAAAGGACAGTCTATCAGGTCAGTTAAATTGTCTACAAAGCTTTATGTAAGTCTTCCACCACGTGTAATACTAATGACTAATCTCCAAGATGCCACTTACTTTCTTGAAGTCCTTGCAAGGTGTGGCCGATCTGATGAAGTTGAACAGAGAGTCTACTATATTGGCAGAAGTAGACTTAGGGCAGCTGCTCAACGCACTGACGATGCACTTCTGCATTTCTGTCATTTGATTGCATTGCTTTTCCTGTAAAAGTTAAAGACATTTCTTAAAAAACAAGAAACCTCTAAACTATAAATGCAAGTCTGACTTGCATACCGACTGTTTTATTATAATCTTGTACGTACAGTGTTCGTCCTAGTGGTCAAAAGACCTTGAACTTTCTCGGTTTTTAGTTGACCTAGATCGATTTACGATAATGGTCTTGGTCTATTTTCCTAAGTGAGCTATCGCAAAATAAAATCTGTCTAACTCTCGGATAGCAAACTTTTCGTTTACATTTGCTGTGAGACTTTGTCATTAAATTTTATGATTTGAAGTCAATGGGTTTTGATTTGAATAAGATTTGATTTACCTACAAGATGTGAAAATTTGTAAAAATATAAGGGCGTTGACCCGAAACCCTTGAAAGCAAAAGTGACAACCACGGAAAAGCGAAAAGCGTACTCAATAGAGTACTTTGTGAAATTAACCGAAAAATACTTACAATTACAAAATGTAATACAAAATTATTTTAATTATTTTTAGGATTTATTTTACGAATTATCAAATACAACAGGTACAGATAGTTCAGTACATTTTTCTGGTTGATAACGCATTACGTATTGTATTGTTTTGAATAATGCAATAATTTACGGTTTAATTTCAATCTCTGGGCGACTTTTAATGTTGCTTATCAACACTGAGCCCGCAACATCTTTTTTAAAGGTTACTTAATGAAAATAATATTTATGTATGAATATTAACAAACGATAGTGACTTTCAAAACAAACACAATAACACTTAAATACTCTCTGCCTAAGATTGTACTCTTATTACCTATAAGTTTCTAACTGAGAAGGAAAACCCGACATTATTCCTAAACCTTCGTCAATCGATCATTATCATCAACAGCTTTCAGTAGTCCACTGCTGGACATAGACATCTCATTAGGAAGGAGGTTTTGGCCTACTATACCATGCCTTTTCCTTTTCTTTCAAGTTTTCTTTGTCTACTTCAGTCAATCGATACATACACAAACATTCAGTCACATTTTAAGTCCCAATTTCTTAAAACTGTTTACTGTAGTCTTAGTTACTAATCCTCTTACCATCAACTGGGCTTTTTTCGAATAAAAAATGGATTTATGAGTAGTTAATCAGTTAACTATTAATAAAAGAAGTGAAAGAAAGAGAAACCTTAAATTCCAGTTTAAAATCAGAATCGATCGTGATATTCTTTAAATCGCTCTGGGTTTGAGCGTCCAATGTCTGGTTAAAACAGTTCTGGAGTCCTTCTTGTTTGTCTTGGAAACATTCTTGACCACCTTCTGCTATAAACACTGAAAGAAAAAGTAAATACAATTCAGGTCAGATATCATAGGTTCGATTTCTATCAAGGGCAAAGAACTGTGTGATGAGCCAGATCATTCGTTCTGTGTCTGGGTGTAATTTATCTAAATTATGTGTGTATTCACAAATAAGTATGTTTGTCAGCAATCTGGTTACTATAGCACCACAAGCTCTGCCGAATTTGGAATAAGTGTGTGTGTGTGTGTGTGTGTGTGACAGTGCGTGAAAGTTGTGTCCAGCCCTGGATCTAGAGGGGAGAGGGGCAAACCGGGGCACACGCTCACAATATAGTGTCTATCAAGTTTCTGCTCCGGTTCGGAAAAATCGTAACCTTCAAAACGGCTAAACCGATTTTGATAGTATTTTTATAACAGGAAGCTAACTATATAAGGAGTAACTAAGGCTATTTTTTCTCTCAGAAAAACCTATAAAATTTTCCCCGTATCTTCAAATACAGTGTAACGAATCGAACCCACTAAGGCAGCGGTTTTCAAATACCACGCGAACGAAGTCGCAGGCACCAGCTAGTTTGATATAAGTTGAGTAGTCGGGTATCAATATTAAGTCTCAACGCTCTACTCATTGAGCAGCTTAATTGAACAGTAAGGCTAGAGTTTTTTTAGTTTAATGCCGCCGTTTATATTTTAAATAAAAATATGTCCACGTCTGTTGTTTGCCTTTCCGGAACACAATAGCACACTCGCAAGCGTGTATATGGCATCCAAGCGTTTGTAAAGACTTGGAGCTTGAGGACCTTTGCCAAGCCTCGGCACGCATGTAAACTAGGCATTATAGCTGTGGTGTTGTGCACGCATACGCCTGTGTGCGTGTGTGCTATTATTAAATACAGCCAGCCAATTCAGCTAATCATGCGCGAAAAATAAGAACTTCCGTTACTCGGTGAAACTTCGTTACTCCGTTCCGTTGAAGGTACTCCGTTACCTTAGTTACTCGGTGAAAATCGACAAAAGTATTACTTAACATTCGGTATTCTGTGTGGCCGTAGTATCACTGTGAGCAAAATATAGGTCTTGAAAGAGTTCCAATTACTTACGTGCGATTCTATCACCATCCTTGAAGCAGATGAATTCGACGAGTTGATCGGTAACGTTATAAATAATCTTGAAGTTTTCCTGTTCTTCAGTCGTGAAACAGGGCTTTACCGTTTCCGTCATGTTACGGAAACACTCCTTGAATTGAGGTGTCTTGTCGCAATACCTGAAACATGCAAACATTAAAATAAGACCTATTGATTTTCAATATTTGCTGAGCAGTTCTGCAATAACCCGGGCTGTAAGCATAGGACGGCACATCCAATAATAAACATATTAAGCAATCGATATATCTGTTTTTTTTTTTTACCGGTTGGTGAAAAAATCAAAGTTATAAGACCCTTATAGAACATAAAAAATATAATTGTGAATAGTGTACTCTACAGTTCCTGTTTTAAGAATAGGCCCATTAGTTTACCAACGTGTCAACAGTCCTTGTATAAACAAGTATCGCATCACAAGAGTTTATTTGTTCCCTACAATAAGCTCTAGCAACCTGTTTTGACGAATTGCAATTCGTGGAAGCGTAAGTGTAGGTAATATTACTATTTCAAGGCTATGTACATGTTTTAACTTCTGTTTACCATAACATTGTGTATATTTAAAAATATTAATCAATGTACTTTTGTTCTTAGGTAATCAAACAATTACTTTTTAAAGTTGACTTTAAAAACCATTATCCACATCAATGTGCCTAAACTATGATAATGAAACGCGGGCAATTCGAATTGAGAATATTCTATGCAGTTTACTATACATCTAAAAAGAGGTTTACTTACTTTTTAAACACCTCATCGAGTTTTCCATTGGGTTTCGCATTTTCAATCTCAGTTTGAAGAGTGTTCGTGTCTACTAAGGCCGAAGAACACGCCATTAAGCCCTGTACGGCATTCTGGAAAAACAAGTTATAGCATTTTAGTTAAACTGCTTGACAAGATCTTAAAGTACTCAATACGAGATCTGTAACGCCAGTACTGACGTGTGAATTTACAACACTGTATCTCAGAAATACCTATTACGTAAAAAGAGCTTTCAAAGGTTTTTTGTCTATGTGTTAGGTATTAAATTAAACGTAAATTTAAGTTCTATCTAGCCATGTACATTTTACAACCATACTATCCATACAATTTTATTATCATTAACGAAGTAAATGTGTAGTGTCTGCATAAAGTTTGAAGCAATGGTCCCGATTGTTTGAACAAAAGACTGTTTGTTTAGTTACAGTGTTTTAGTTTTATAAAAACAAAGCTTATGCATAAAGGACGTAATATTGTTAAAGTAACACTGTACTTTCAAATACAGTGTAACGTTAACAATATTAGGTATTAATAAAGCACCCGAAAGAATCTCAATAATAATAACCACAGTTTCCAATAACATAGTGTATTTTACGTGTTCAGTTTTGTTTATGTCAAATACATTAAAACTCAATTTATATTAAAACCTATATTTCTTAAAATAAAAAGAAACTAACAAACTAAAAATCAAGTGTGTAATGTAATCTTTTCAAATCAAATAATAATATATAATAAATCAATTAACCAAGTCTTAAAATGTAAATCAAAAACAAAACACAACGTTCATATCTCCGTCTACATACTACATAATGAAAAAATATTGATACAGGGATATATAACCGACTCGAAATAATCAAATAAGCGCTATTAAGGCAACATGCAGACACACTGCAACTCAAGTGTATTGGATTTACACGTCAGAGTGTATATTAGTAGGAGTAATTGAGCAGAGTTCCGGTCAAATGTTGTAACTGATGAACATAAAATAGCTCGTTGAAAGGAATTGAAATATTCAATTTCCCAAATATGGCAATATTGTTTAATATTACTATTCAAGATTGAGGATATGGACCTCAATTCTGCTATTTTATTTGAACGTAAAAGCCACTGTCATTCCATTGAGATGCCAGTGACATCGGTCAAAATATCGGTATTCTACTAATATAAACAGCAATATCATGGATAATAAAATATATAATTTCCTTGCAAACTTAAAATGTACCGGTTACCAAACTATTACAAAGAGATCGGCGACATTTGTATCAGTGGCAGTTCAGTGACACAAGTCATTAGTTAGAAAGTTAGTAGAATACGAAAAGTGCAAACCTATTCCGACGACATTCCTACGACAGTCTACTGATACTATATTAAAATAGCAGTATTGAGGCCCAGGTGATAAAACGTTTTTCGTCACTAATGGGTTTTTGTTGCATCAAAAACTCATAAGTCCCATAATATTATATACTTATGTTATACATACATGAAAATGTTATGTTGGTTTGTGTACGCTTCAAAAACTCAAGACGTTCTGCACCGATTGGACTCAAATTTTGACATGGTATAGGTACACCCCGCTTTAAAGATTGTTTTTTTTTCATTAATTCAACCACAATGTACCAAAGCGAAACGTGGCAGGGTACTGCTAGTAGTCTATATGTCTAAAAGTTACATTAAACTGTGGTAAACTATTTGAAACAATAATTTGTAACCGTAAATTGTTAAATGATACGGTGCGTGAAATTTAATTGCATGATTCAAGGATTAGCAGTTACGCCGTAGTTCAGTTTGTCTTCCTTATATGGTATTAACGAATTCTTAATGATTAAAAGGCATCATTACGCAGCGTTTAAGCAAAAAATTACATATGGGTGTGTAAATATTGATTAGATGACATTCGTTACGTAATCTTTAAGTTAAAATAAATAAATAGTATGATACAAGGCTGAAAATGTTGTAACTTGTAGCTAGTTATTCCGTATTCGTTAAATTGTTATCTTTGGCATCTGGTAATAACCCTTCATAAAGACACAGTAAACTTTTTAACAAGAGATCTATCAATCGATGCCAAATTTGTTAACTGTTTTGAAGTCACTCAAATGAATTATACACAAAAAGTCGTCTTAAGAGCGGATAAGGAGTGTATAGTTTCCAGTAATTTACAGCAGCATCAACGAATTCGGCGAATTTCATTTACTCAGTGGTAATATTTATGTTGAAAATCTATGAAAGTCGAATAAGGAGTTTCTGAACAAATGTGCGTAAAGCAAAGAACATTGTCATTGTTTTAGCCAAAGTAAGCATAGCCAAGTTTGTTTGCATAACTTTAACAGATTACAAATTAGTATTCGAACTTAAAGAAGTCCTTTTGTAAGCTATTTTTAGTGTTAAATGATGATAAGACGTGTCTTAAAAGCTTCTATTATGAACAATGTGCAACATACTCATTGCTTTAATACTTATTTAGTAATCCTCAGAAAAGCATAAGTGTCGTATTAAGTTGAACTTAAACAAGTTTTTTTGTAAGCTATTTTTAGTGTGACATGACGATAAGACGTGTATTGAAGTTTCTATTGTTAAAAATGTAACAGGCCCATTGCTTTAATTTATGTGCGAAGTCCTTAGAAAAGCATAAGTGTCGTAGTATAAGAGCTTTGAGCCTAAATAACCTTTGAAATTGTGATTTCTTTTCATAAGTGCTTATTTTTATGTGAAGGTCATAGCTCATTAAAGCCAACCGACACCTGATTAGATTAGTATTTTTTGTATGGATTACTACGTGTATACGATCATTACATCAACTCTTGCAGGTGGACCGCGACGAGTGAACACCGAGCGACGAAGTGGTGTCGGGTTGCTTCAGGTTACTTTAATGAGCTATGACCTTAAAGGTAATAACTAACTGCATAAGTATTTCAAGTGTTTAGGAAATATTTTAACTAATGTTTACTTTACATTAAAATTAATAAATTACTTCATTAGAACAATGATAAAGAGGCAACATTATGGTGAATGTGACTGCGGGTAGTAGGTAGGCAGATGACGGAGCAAAATTCGTTACATAACAAAATGATTTTGAGGAATTGTTCTTCTGTATAGGTACTATCAACTGTTGTGTCGGTGTGAGAAAATTAGAAACCCAAGAATATAATCATTCCATTGTGCTGTAGAAAAGAAATATACACAATTATTATATATATATATATATATAAATATGCCTACCTCGTACCATATTACGGTAATAAGTTGTACATAATACACAAACATTATACATTAACTTGTAAAAAAGTTAATTTCCGACCATTGCACTTAATTCATATTAATTTGGTTTTTGCATATTTTTTGTTGCTGTACATTTTATGTTTTATACTCTCTGTTAAAATCCTGACGTTCAAATAAAGTATTATTTTTATTTACCCGTCCGGATCGATACAGACTGCCCAAGAAACAGGCCTTCGTTCATTAGTGGACGGCGATAGGCTGATGATGATAATTTACCTATCTATCTACGTTCAACCTAATTCAAACGATTATTCTCTTCTTATTTAATTTCAAAATATTTTTTATGTAATAAGGGGCGAACGAGCAGACGGTTCACCTCATGGTAAGTGATTACTAAGGCACATGAACGCCAGCATCCCAGACTGAGGAGGCCTCTTGTACCCTCAGTAAATCGGTGAAAAACAAGAAAAGAATTGCTAAGACCGGTTGTCTGTGAAGCCGGAGTTTTATTCCGGTCAAGCCGGCCCATTTGTATGTAGGCATGGTCCCACGGTAATAAGTAGAAGTAATCATCATAACTCCATTACATTAAACGTATAAACAGATTGAAAAATAACGTATAACATTCTCCTAACTATCGATCATCAAGTTTTGCTATTAATCTTTGTACAACATGAAGAAATATAGGTAGTTTCACCTAGTACAGATCGTTTTATAGCATTCAAAGTCCAAGGTGGTCTTCAAATAAAAATCTATAAAACTTCATACACATCACATCATCGCATTTGTACATGTTCTGAATGTAATGAACAGAAACCTTGATTCATCACCATAGTACTCACACTCTTCAAAATGACTCTTTTACACCTTTATACTAAATAACAAAAAACGACTTCGTTCCCGTAGGTAATGATTACAATTCTTATAGTGTTACTAACTTGCTTTTTCAAATGATAAAGTACGAATCACGGGTCACCTCATTGTTGTTTATTTCTATTTCCTGATTTAAATAACTACTAATAATAACGATATTGTTTATTTGTTTAAAAAGTGAACAAAATTACCCACCCCCGCCGCGCTGCTAAAAGCATGTTTACTCTTTTTTATTTCCTTACTGTGTGTAGTCGTTATTCTTAAAAATATTATCTTATAAATACAAAATTTTCCTATTGTAATTCCTACGTTTTTATTACCAACTAGCTTTTGCCCGCGGCTCCGGCTCGCGGTATGTCGGTTATCGCGGTAAAACGTAGCCTATAACATAGGCTGGCTTGCTGATAATATAGCTTTCCATTGGTAAAAAAAAGTTAAAATTGGTTAAGTGGTTTAGGCGTGAAAGCGTAACAAAGAAACAAACAAACTCACTTTAATGTATATAAGTATGGACGAACGTACTAAGAAAATGTTATTAAATTTGAATAGACCTGTGTAAAATCAGCATAGACTATTAGAAAACTATATTTGTTTAGAGCTGTATAGCCATGAACTGATTTTAATGAAAACCAAAATTCTATCAACATTGTTTGGTTTTCATTACAACTTATACATAACAGTAGCGAACCAAATTATGGCTCTAAAATAACTTTAGATTTAGTAAAGTGGAAGAAAATAACAATTGCCCTGAATTTTTAATAGTCCGACCAAATTAGGCTTAAAAATAGTGGTGAAGCCACAATAATTTGTTAAGAGCTAACGATCTCCGACCTCTACTGGGCTGGGGGTAACGGTGAGGCTGACCGTTACCCTAGCAGGAGCAGGCCTGAGACGGTGGTGCGGCGTGTTCTGTGCGCACCTCTGCCAAGGTCTGCCGGGGTTCTAGGAGAATTCCTTCAAACGGGGTACTCGAGTCTCTTGCAACGGACACACATATGACGGA